AACACTGACCTTGTGCCTCTTGCTAATACTTAAATGTAAACTTTATCTTTTGATATCGCCATATTTAAATGTTGATATCTCCGTTAATGTCTGTACTTTATCTCCGTTATTTTTCTGCGTCAAGTTTTTGCTTTGGGAACAGTAACTTCCTGCTAGCGCAAAGTCACCTTCAAAATAAAAGCATGTCTATATAAAACAGGACGTTAAGACATGTTGCAATGAAAGTAACACAAACAATGCCATCTCATTTTCAGGTTCAAAGAACACAAATTGGGTTATTTACATAAACTATTCATATTGCAAATACGTGTTTTAACCAGGAAATGGATGGACATGGATACGACCCATGTGATCTGCAATATCGCAATATATCGTATCCAGTGGCGAGCCGTCAGGGCCCTCTAGGCTCTCTCTGAGGGCCTAAGATATTCTACAAAATAATATTTAAAAACATTAAAAAAATATATTTCTTAATATATATTTGTTTAATATATTTTTAGTTCTATTTTTCATTAGTTTTACCAAAATAACTTGATTTAATTGTATTTAAAAGAACATTTCCAAAGAAATAAATCCTTTGAATCTCCCTATTCAGTTTCTGTTAGACTGTGAAGGGTTAAATGAAAGAAGCTCGTCTCTGCGAGGTGAAGACAGGAGCTGATTGGTCCAGCTATGAATTCACAGAGGGTCGCTATAGTAACTGAAGGATGGAGTAATGTCAAATGACAGTACAATTGACCAATCATATCTTCCCTCTAAATGGGTGGGTTTTATTATCGCGGACTTTATGACAAGTTCCGCCCGCTGTGAAGCTTTTCTTGTTTCCATAGCAACAACAACTTCCTGTCAACAGCGTAAACTCGCCTTCAAAATAAAAGCATGCCAAATTACACTTAAGACATACAACTGCAACGCAAGTAACAAACACAATGCAATATCCTTTTCAATTTCAAAGAACACAAATTGGGTTATTTACAGGTGTTGTTTTGTGTGGTAGAGGGTCGCTGTCATTGATGCGTTTTGCACCCAGGCCGTTGTTTTTCCGCTGAAGTATACGCTGTGACGTAATAACTCTTTTTTTTGTTTTTCTTCGAGGGAAGCGGTGGGGGTCAGAGGGCCTAGGTATAAAGGTCACGGCTCGCCACTGATCGTATCGCAATACTTAGCATATTGTGGCTTAAGTATCGCGATAGTATGGTATCGTGGGGACCCTGGTGATTCCCACCCCTAATGTTAATCTTCTGCCAGCACAAACTCACGAGAACTCCCACACTTTTGCTCGCAGGTCACTTCCCATTTCTATTATCTCTGTGAATAACAGCCTGTCAAGTTCACCCCGATGCAGAACACATGCAAAACGGAGACAAATGCATAAATTACCAGGAGCCTGGAGAGTGTTTGAACTGTGAACCAGAGACGCTGTGATCCTCTGCAGAAGAGCGGAGGCTTTGATGTGCAGAAAAGAAGGTTTAAATATCAATTACTCCCCTGTCTGCACTGTCACACCAGAGCCACCGTCACTGTGGAGTTTAAAACTCGACTAAAGGCAATGTGCGAGAGATTCAAAGGGGCATCGACTGGATCAGAGTTCAGTGTGTTAGTGGGAGGAAAGATGAAGAAGGGGGGATGAATCTGAAGCCTTTGAAATCATCACAGTTTGACTTAACCGCATTTTAGTGCCTATTTTTCAAAAGGAGATGCCTCTTTTTACCCTCATCCAGATATAACGACTGCTCAGTACTACTGTTTCTATCTTCATCCAATGAAACACATGTTTATAGCTTGGAAAACAAACTATGTCCAGATATGTTGAGCCTTTGTCACCACTTTTAGTGCTACACGCTATAGCTGGTGTAACGTTTCTGATCACTCCATGTGGAAAGCTTCCCGAAGGCCTCAGAAAGTCAGTATATGATGGTGTGTATATCCTGACTGTGCACTACAGAGTTGAGAATATACCAGCATTTACTCCAGGCGAACCAATAATAAGAACCAATTACTCAGAGTTCAGTGTGTTAGTGGGAGGAAAGATGAAGATGAGGGGATGAAGAATGAAGCCTTTGAAATCATCACCGTTTGATTTAACCGTCCCTATTTTCTAAAGGAGATGCCTCTTTTTACCCTCATCCAGATATAACGATAGCTCAGTGCTACTGTTTCTATCTTCATCCATTGAAACACATTTTTATAGCTTGGAAAACAAACTATGTCCAGATATGTTGAGCCTTTGCTAGCTGGTGTAAAGTTTCTGATCACTCCACGTGGAGAGCTTCCCAAAGGCCTCAGACTGAGCAGTACAGAGTGGAGGTTATACCAGCATGTTTACTCAAGAGGACCAGGCTTTCTACCAAAAGGCTTCAGTACACTTCCAACAATCTAGTTTCATACCTGATCCCAAACCTCAAAGTCTTCCCCTGTCTGCATGTCAATCCCCTCCTATTCCTATAAAACCCCTTCCTCTCTTTAGTAATGCCAAAGGGAGATATATATACAAAGTACCAAAAACCCATTAACATGAGGTCAGCATGCTTTTCTGTCGTTTGCTGCCAGGTTTCTCAGAGCTGTTGGGGTTCAGAGCACCTCAGAAATGTCCAGGAGGTGAACTGGACCCTATATTTTCATATTTTGGAATAGTCAATCCGTCTGTTTCCTGTTTTACTTTGAAAGGTGTTGACCCCCTGGGTGTTTCTCAATCGCAAGTACGCTTGCTTGGTAGCACATGTCTGCCGAGCGTCTTGCTTCAGAAGCGAGTCAAGAATACTTCCTGGCATTCGGAAAACAAAGAGTGGAACAGGCGAGCAAGTGTGCAGGTGTGCGTCATATGAGAGGCCCCGCCTCCTTACATCTTCCGCCACAGATTTGGGGAAATTGGTCCGTGCGCAAAGCATTGTGGGGATTTTAAGACCGCGGAGTCTACTCATGTGCAGCCTCGATATTTCTCCAAACGGAGTACGCCGGGCTCGGTAGATTTCCAAGTATGCTGGAGATTGGAACAGTACTTCGGCGGCACTCGATGACGTAGTATGCTTGAAATAGTGGCTCTGGAGCAGCTTTACTCGACAGCTTGACCCAAACATATCAGGAAGCATCAGAGCAGAACCGAGCAGAAAGAGGATCCAAAGTTTCTCCAGCAGGCGACGGGCCAAGTGCCGCATTCAGCGTTCAGCGTTCAGCTTTCAGCGTTCAGCGTTCAGCATTCAGCATTCAGCATTCAGCATTCAGCATTCAGCTTTCAGCATTCAGCATTCAGCATTCAGCATTCAGCATTCAGCGTTCAGCGTTCAGCATTCAGCGTTCAGCATTCAGCATTCAGCGTTCAGCACACAATAACAAAATGAATATTTGATTTGGACGGGGGCAGCCACTTCCTGTCTCCTGCAACGAGGAACAAAGCAGGATCTCCTGTTTCACAGCTTTAAATAGAAATAGAACCGCCCTGCAGGAAGCACAGAGACTCAGAGACACACTTATGAAGTTCCTACACATCGAGACAATAAAGTGTACTTTGGGTGGCTCCACAAAGTCTGGCTAACATCAATGACAAAATGTGCTTGCAGTTACTTAAACAGGTAGGACAATGTCAGAAACGTTTAGTAAAAACAACTATAATACACTTATTCAAGCTGACATTGTCTTACTTTTGTCCAGCTTCTATTCTAACTCACTTCACACCAAATTCATTCAACATTTCTACAAAACAGCACCTGGTTTTGACAGAATGAGATGATCACAGCTAAAATAATGGTCAACCAATAAGGAACAAGGAGGCTTTAGCTATTGCTAAAACAATGTTAGTTAGCGGTATTATCCCGGGGTCTGCTCTGACTTAGTTTTCTGTCTTTTAAGTTATTCTGCATCGTACTCTGTGTCTCAGCCACTTCTTCTGAACCTGTTATTATAGTGAACAAGTGAAAGTGTTGAGAAGGAGGTCTTGCCTCTTCAACTGGCCCAGATCTCTTCCAACAGCTGCAGACTGCAGGACTAGCTGTCATGTTTTTAGCAGCCTTTTTTGCGATATGATCGAGATAGAAATCACTTGTTTACTGTAATGAATCCAAAACAATAAGCCAATGATTTGTTGCTGTTGAAAAGCCGTGCACCTTCGAAATCCTTCATGCACACCAGGTATGTTTATGTATGTTTATGTATGCTTTAAGATTACATTTCTCCTGCCATTATTCCATTAGCTCTGTGCTGAGGGTTTAGGAGACACATGTGTTCCCAGGTGAGTTCACTGAGCGTTTGTCAGCTGGGGCTCAGGTGTAAACTCCATCTGAGTGTCTCTGGGGGGGGGGGGGGGGGGGGGGGGGGTGTGTGGTGTGTGTGTGTGTGTGTGTGTGTGTGTGTGTGTGTGTGACCAACATGACCCTAAACGTTTCCATGGAGACAAAGAGAGCGAGTGAATTGTCATTTGACTATATTCTCAGATATGTCTGTGTATTTGTGAAGCCCTCTGAATCGGCCCTCAGCAAATTAAAAAAGTATAATGAAACATGGCTCACAAATTAAACATATGCTATTGTACTTCTTACATATATATGTTCAGATATATAACACAGTATTCATGTGTTAATAAGCCTACTTTTCAAATAAATTCAGTAAATTAAAGTTGACAACATGTTCTAACAAATCTTAGTTGATAAGAAAAAAGTCCAATAAGTCAGTTACATAACAACCTTGAAATATACCCTTCATATTTCCTCTTATTATCATCAATCTGAGGCTTCTGTTTTAAGGAATGAGCTGCTAACAAGATAAATGAAACCCTACGGAGAGCTGTGAGTTTTGTTCATCAATATCAACCATCATTTGCCTACATTTGATAGATTTTTCTAACTTATAACTGAACTTATGAGGCGATAAACCTCTAGTGAGCGGCCCAGCCCTTCGTATATTTTTCTGTATCTGGCCCTCGGTGAAAAATGTTTGGACACCCCTGGGCTGTATAAATACATTTGTAATTGAATGGAGTCATGTGAGGTGATGTTTGGGGTCCTCACCTCATAATGGGCCACCCTCTGGGACTCGGAGATGAGCTGAGCGCTGCACACTTTGCAGTAACTGTCCGTGAAAAGACCGTGATCCACTTCTGTTGACTTCATCTGGAGAGAGAGAGAGACGGAGACATGGTTACTGAGCTGGAGGACGAGGACGTGGAGACGCTGACAAGTTAGAAAATACAACAGCTTAAACCAAAGTTGTGTTATTTAAAGGTTCATACTATTTTTAGGCATATATCATGGGTCTCAGATATATACAAACATATAAAAAACATGTTTATGATGTGTTTTGCTCAAAATACCAAACAGATCATGCATTTTAGACATCCCTCATATCCCTCTGTTTCAGCCCTGTTACTAAAGAGCTGATTCTGGGTCAGTAGCTTTAAAAAAAAATTAAAAAGAGGAGGGGGAGCTAATGCCTGATCAGAACTCTCCCAGCAGAAACTCAGCTAAACGCTGCCGTGATTAAACTCCATATCATGTTCCAAACCACATCAAGGATTCTCTCTGAAACAGTATGGAGCTCAAACTCTTTCTCTCTCTCAGGTTTACCACAAGGTGACTTCCTTTTGATTTCCTGCTTCTTCACACATGCTCTCTCCAGTACAGGTTAGCTCTGAGTGTTAGCATGCTAATGTAAACACAGACCATATTACTTTCAGAACACGTCTCATTGTTTCTGACAGCAACGTTTCTGATTGGCCCGTGGGTGTAAAGCCCGCCCACATTTTAGTAATGTGGTCATGACGCAGCAAATCTGTATCAGCTCCGTTGTTCCCCCGTTTTTAGAGATGTGGGTACGGAGGAAAAGAGAGAGGGGTTTATTTCCTGACACTTTGTGAGTCTCCTGACACACCGGGGACACACCGGGGACACACCCGGGGACACACCGGGGACACACCGGGGACACACCGGGGACACACCGGGGACACATGTTGATGTAGAGAAGACATCACTTTGTGAGTCTCCTGACACACCGAGGACACACCGGGGACACACCGGGGACACACCGGGGACACACCCGGGGACACACCGGGGGACACACCGGGGACACACCGGGGACACACCGGGGACACACCGGGGACACACCGGGGACACATGGTGATGTAGAGAAGACATCACTTTGTGAGTCTCCTGACACACCGGGGACACATTTAGAAAAGACATTAATAAGTGCATTTTGCATGATAGGAGACCTTTAATAAAGAGTTATAGCATTTAACAGAATCAATGTATTTCCAGCTGGAAGGGCAGATGACCTGCACCACTGATGCAGCACAAAGATCTGAACCTGTTTCAACAGAAAAACAAACACTTTATACAGGAAAAAGACAAAGGAAAGGGGAAGGTCTCAGCTATAATTTACATTACAGGCTATTGAAATGTTGGCCAGACGGGCAAAACTTGCAAACTTGGTGATAACAAACCTAAGATCTATGATAATTGGCTGGCGACACCCTTCTGTCTGAGAACATTTAGGAGCTAGGCGTGAATTTAAACTGTTTGATTTGTTCAAATGATCAAAGATTTTGGACCAGATTTAGAGATTATATAATAATAATAATAACATTGAGGACGGCTGTGGCGCAGTGCGTTGATCATCAGATCAGGAGCACTGGTTCAATCCCGCCTTTACCGCCACTGTTGTTCTGTCCTTGGGCAAAACACTTCACACTAAATCACTCCCGTGGGGATTGTCCACTCCACAGTATTGATGTATTACATGTCTAATGTATGTAATGTAAAGCGCTTTGGGCACTTGTAAAGGTGCTCAAATAGAAGCAAAATAGGCGAACAGGTGAATAAATATGGTAAACATTAAATATTTAAAAATAAGATTATAAAAAGATAATTCTGATAAAAAAAACACAATAATCATAAAATAAAAAATGTATTTATAATTAATGCAGGTCTAAAAATTGTAATTTCTACGAATATCACCAATAATATCGCAAGTGCAACATCTGTCAATTCTTCATTTCTTTTCTAAATCCTTCAGCCTTGATTGGATCTCCTTCTAAAACCAAATGAGTTGTGAAAAGTAAAACCGGTATTTAAAGTTTTGTCTACAACGAGAAGCCATCTGGATTGAGTTCTTGTCTCCGAGTGTCTGCAGGGAGACGAACCAGCCGAGATGTAACATAACAAGTAAACAATAATCTCATCTCGTTTACTCGCATCACTTTTAATCAATATTTCATCACCTTGGCATGCGAGTTAGTGACAGATGCTGAGACACTTCTGGGAGCAACGAGCTAGAAAAACCTTTCCTCCAAGACTGAGAGCCAAATTATATCCGAGCATGATGAATAAATCACATCCACTGATCCCGCTGAAGGTTTAGCATTCAAATAAATGACTTGTTGCAGAAAGAGAGGATTCAGAAGCCTTTATTTCCTCTTCCACACGCACAGCTGAGCCAGCACGGTTTCCCTTTTTCTAATCCAGGTGGGATTGGGTTAGCGACGGCAGGACAGATGAGGTCACGTCGGAGTAAAATCACACGTCCTACAACTTGTTTGAATATTCTTCTCTGACAAAATGACCGGTGGAAAGAACAATTAATTCTTTAAGAAATGTTGTTATTTGTTCTGTTTTGCATACAAATAATGCTTTCCAGAACAAATGAGGTCTTCCACTCTTCACAAACTCTTCAAACGGTCTACAAACACTGATTACTGGATTCTCCGGAAAAAGTTCCTCAAACGGACATATATCTGAAATTAGAGCCATTTTTGTTTCTGAGATATTGCAAAGCTTAACGAGGTCAGGATGGACAGAGGGACATCCCATACTTTCTCTGGTTAGTAGCAGCGGTATACAAAGAGGGGAGAACATTCACCACTTCTTCATTTGAGCCACCAAGTACTTCTAAAAAGTAGTTGAATGGTCGACCAAACAACCAGTAAAAGTACCAAACGGAGGTGGGACCTAAGAGGGGAAATCTGAGTCACAGATCACAGTGATCTGCAATCTGATTGGATTAAAAACCCCAACCAAGTGCATTTAGCTGCTGATTTCAACTAATTTATTTGACTTACATACACTTCAGTACCGTAGATATGCCAGTGAAAGCAGTTTGGGGTTAAGTATCTCGCCCAAGGACACTTCCTCTGGGGATCAAACCAAGAACTCTCTTCGACCTAATTTAAAATGCAACATGTGGTCATTACCCAACACTCAGCTGAGATTCTCCCGTTCAACCCTTGGTAAAAAGTCACAGAAGATACGAGCACTCTGGAAAATGTGGGCGCTCCACCATTTGACTTATTCCACCATTGGTAAACTTGGAGGTTGTTCAATCAGAATCCACAGTATGTCCACCTTTGGTCTTTCAAAGGCCGTCTCATTGGATTAAATCCCCAACCATGTGCATTTAGCTGATGGTATAACGTATCTCTTTGATTTACATACGCTTCAGTACCGTAGACATTGGGGTTAAGTATCTCGATCAAGGACACTTCCTCTGGGGATCAAACCAAGAACTCTCTGGTCATCTCCAAAGTTGCATTGACCCTCACCACGATGCTAAAATCACAATTGAAGGATTGGTCTAGCATGCAGAGTGTCCACTGGTTGTTCTGATAGTCGAATATTCTGTGAAACTCGAGACAGGAAGTCATAATCTCATAAAAGTTTTATTCCAGATAGTGTAGGATATAGGGGTGACGGTTCACATAATTCACGGTTCGGTATGTACCTCGGTTTGGGGGTCACGGTTCGGTACGGGTTCGGTACAACAAGAAAAAGCTAAAAAAAAATCCCAAATGCATAATTCCAGGTTTGTTGTTATTTATTTTTGAACAGTGATGCAAGTTTCAGTATAAAAATAAGGAACTCTAACATTTTGAATAATTAACTGTATTACACAGTTAAAAACAAACCACAAACAGTACCACACACACTCAGATGGCCATAGCATCTATAATGGCTGATCTCAAACAAGAAGGTTTCATCAAGCAGTAAAACGAAAAAGAATGTCTTGAAAATATTACAAAATAAATAATAGGAAAGTGTTTCGAGGGCACATAGCCGTTGAAATATATATGCCAATAGCTTCCGTTATTTATTTTGGTCTCTCGGCTTGCATGTCTATTGGCTTCTTAAAAACAGTGGGGATAAGCTGTTGAACTGCTGTTGTCTTTCGCCGTGCTCCGGTGATTGGCAAATCTGGGTGATGCCTTCTGATATGATTTAGCATGTTTGGCGTGTGTTACCCAGGTGTTATCATTGGCATACCGCACCGCTGTCGACCAACGCCGACACACCGTCCTCCCGATCCACCACTCGCACTCCATCGTTATTGTAGTCCACAGGGAACCCGAAATGTTCCCACACAGCGGATTTAAAAGAAGCAGGTGGTTCTTCTAGCTCCTGTGTGTTATCTGAAATCGCCATACTAACTTCTCTTCTTCTTGTATTTTGTTCGTTTTGTTGTGTTTTCTTCTTGTTCTTCATTTGTTGTTTAAGGGCGGCAGGCAAACTGCTTTTAGGCGCAATACCGCCCCCTGGATTATATATAGTGTAATGGATACTGCCCTGAGTGACAGACTTTTTTCCCTTCATAAAAAAAAGGCGTATTCGTCGTGTGACTGCATGTGCCGAACCGTGACGTCCGGTTCGGGGCGAATACGGATACCGTTACACCCCTAGTAGGATACAGATTTGGGAGTTTTCATACAATAATATCTGGAGATTTGGACTCTAAAATGACAGATGTAGTGTGGGGGAAATAATGAAAACTAAAGCTTCAATCATTGATATTTTTATATAGTTATAAATAAATGTGTGAAAGAAGTGAAAAATCACCAACTGTAGAGTTCTACTCTGCTCTTTGGAGCGTTTTAGCGTCTATCAGCTCATTGTTTTGGTTTTAGGGTTTGCAAGCACACATTTTTAATAATTTCTTACTCTAAGGAGTCATTATTATTGCCAACCATGTGCATTTAGCTGATGATTATAACCTTTTTCTTTGACTTATGACTCATGTCAGTACCATAGACATGAGCGCACACTCAGATATGGTGCGTTTCAGCGTTTTTCAGCACATTGTTTTGGTTTTAAGGCCCACATTTAAACTCACTTCTTGCAGTTGTTGA